TTAACTGCTGACGCACTGAGAGAAAATCTGGCTTCTTCTGTTCTTCTGTTTTGCCCACACGTGCTGTTCTCCTTTATATCCTATGAGCAAAACAGAGAAAACACTACTGGGCGCAGTTGTAAAACCAACCAATGTACTATTTTGTTCTGTGTACTATGTACCTGTAGCTGGGCCGAAAGAGATGATCTATCTAAGCTTGTAAATCGGGCTTTACAGTTGAAATTTAGAAATGTTTCTTGAATAAGAGAAACAGGAACACAAAATAGATTTGACATATGATTTTCTATTATGAACTACAGTCATGTGAAAAAGAAACTGTTCACAGAACTCTGTGTAGTCATGTGAAAAGTTCATCCTTAGTTTTTATAAGGGTAAGTATAACTACTAGGTGCTGTTAATCACATGCACGGGGTTAACTGATCATTAGCAAGTGTGAGCACCTCTATATGGTCTGGAGTATTCAAAAGCTCCAACTCAGACTCTACAGGTCTGAATTAATATTATCATACTTGTGTTCATGATAGAAAAAAACTGGACAAGTATGGTTTGGTTTAGAAAAGTTGGCAGGAGAAGGCCTCTTTTCTCTAAAAAAAATAGCATGGCAGCATAGCTTAAGTAAGCAAAGTTGCCTCTGAACAAACCACAAGACTGCTTTGCTTTAATGCACGGTGCCATAACATAGCACAAACAGCTCATACCAACTGTCGAGCGGGGTGTTGGAGGAGTGAAGATTTGGGTTGGTTTGGCAGCCACAGGACCTGGGCAACTTGAAGTCATTGAGCCAACCGTGAACTTTTGAGTTAAATATGAAGCCATTTGTTTGACAGCTAAAGTTAAAGTCTAAATTGCGTCATGCAACATAACAATGGTCAAAAGCACAGCAGAAAATCAAGTATTATAATTGCCCTGTTAAAGACTGACCTCAACATGATGAAATCTATGCCTGTAAGCTTCAGTGAAGGTTGTACAGGAGTTTATGGGGCGACCGTTGCTCAGGGGGTTGGGAAGTGTATCTGTAACCGGAAGGTCGCTGGTTCGATCCCCGGGCTCTCTGTCCTGGTCGTTGTGTCCTTGGGCAAGACACTTTACCCTACTGGTAATGGCCAGAGGGGCCGATGGCGCGATATGGCAGCCTCGCTTCTCTCAGTCTGCCCCAGGGCAGCTGTGGCTGCTACAAACGTAGCACTAAAAAAGTAGACCATTTTGGCCCGTTTTGGAGCAGTCTGGGGGGATGGTGACCTTTGAATGACCTATAAAGTAAAGTTTAATATCTCGGAAACCGTAGCAGCACAAACGCTAATTTTACCTGCACAAATCTGCACAAACGTAGCACTAAAAAAGTAGACCATTTTTGGTTTGTTTTGGAGCAGTCTGGGGGGATGGTGATGTCATCAGCAAAAAATATAACTTTTAATATCTCAGATACTGTAGCAGCACAAACGCTAATTTTACCTGCACAAACCAGCACAAACGTAGCACTAAAAAAGTAGACCATTTTGGCCCGTTTTGGAGCAGTCTGGGGGGATGGTGACCTTTGAATGACCTATAAAATAAAGTTTAATATCTCAGAAACCGTAGCAGCACAAACGCTAATTTTACCTGCACAAATCAGCACAAACGTAGCACTAACCGCTCCGCCTATTTGCCTTTACGTTTCAAGTGGGTGGGGGGTCAGCTTCACTCTGCTATTGTAAAGTGCTGTGGGTGCCTTGAAAAGTGCTATATAAATCCAATCCATTATTATTATCCCAAAATTCTCCAATAGCAATGTGAGAGACTGATAAAGTCACACAGAAAATGATTACATCATGGTATAGAAGCTACAGGTGGTTCTATAACAGTTGAATCATGGTACTTCGCTTTTCACAGGACGACACAAAGTCCTCTGAAAACCTTTGTTTGTCACATGACTGTATATCCTAAAGTATATATGAAGAGGGGCTATGTGTTCATAGTCACATAGGAACATTTGACTTCCTCCACTGATTGATTTGCATTACTAGCTTTTGGACAGCGGTGGCACAGAGGAATAAAATGAATCATGATTTAAATGCATTGATGGTGTGATCAATCTATTGCTGGTCCCTTCACATAGAATGTTGGCAGAAGTACAACACCTTCAGTGGAAAATCCTACTTAAGAACAATATCAACAATGACATGTTGATATTATTGATGTGTGAAAAAACATGTTGGGACAGCTGACCTTCCAAAAACACAAAAACTGGCATCTCGCAATGTTTCCATTGTTGGAGCCAGAAAATAATCAGTAGTGAAAGTGAGACAGATGTTTAAAGCAAACGTTCAAAGAGAGAGAATTACGTCACTATCAGCATTTTATAATTTAGAAACATATTGCCCAGTGCCAAACTCGAATTCCTGATATTATGCGTGTGCATACATGTGTAAATAATATATGTTTGTTTTTTCCTTCCTTGACTGCTGTGTATTGTTGGATAAAAAGTTCTCCAAATTGACACACACAGATATATGCACGTATCTCCAGTCAGCCAAATCACGTTAGATGCGTTTAAACATTCGTTTGTTTTTTTTTAAGGCCATCAATTTTGCTTTGCTTGTTTGTGCATGATAGAACACATCCGCAGTCAAGTTTCCTCCCAGTTGATCTAGATCCAAATTTGTGCTTGGATTTGCCTTTCTTCAGAACTCTGGCAAAATTCATATGCTGACTTTCCTTTAAGCTGTATACTTTACAGTAATGTATTTAGTCATAGTAGTTGCACTTAACATTCACGGACACGTCAAGCTCACAATAACAGACATGAGTTGAAGAAAAAAAGAAAATGCAAGTTGAGAATATGATGGATCGTGTGATGTATTTTGAAGTAACAGCGCAAACAAAAAGATTCTAAATTTAGGGATGTGCAGGACTAGTCAACTAGTCGACAAGTCCTTGCTGTTGTCACTAGTCAGTTCCAAACTTGCTGGTCGTTTAATCTAATTATTAAAATTTTAATTGATGCCCAATGCCGTAAATGATTGTCCTAATGTGTTATGCAGCCTTCTGCCACAAGAGAAACCATATCTCTGTTAATCATCTTTTTGTTAACACTGTTAGAATGAGATTGCCAGTAAAAGTTCATTCATAATGCATGACAAAATGGGCAACACTTTTCAGTCACTTTATTAGTTTCTCAGATGTTAAATATGTCATATTTTAGTTATATGTCTTGGCATTGCATCAGCTCAAGGGTTGTCAGGTCTTGTGCAGACCAACTGTGTGGGGTGATGGAGCGCATCTTCATCCTGAGCCTAAGGCTGGGGAGAGTCCCACAGCTCTGGAAAACCTCCTGTGTTGTATCAGTGCCAAAGACTCCACGTCCCAAGGATCTCAACAGCTACAGGCTGGTAGCTCTGACACCCCACTTGATGAAGACCCTGAAGCGGCTGGTCCTGGCTCAGCTACGGCCCCTGGTGAGCTCATCACTGGACCCACCTCAGTTTGTCTACCAACCTGGCATTGGAGTGGATGATGTCGTCACTCACCTCCTACATCATTCCCTCTCTTACCTGGAGACCGCTGGGAACACTGTGAGAATCATGTTCTTTGATTTCTCCAGTGCCTTCAACACCATTCTTTCCACGGTAATGAAGGACAAGTTGGAGAACTTAGGAGTGGACCATCACCTCACATCATGGATACTGGAGTACCTCGCCGACTGACCACAGTACGCGAGAACTCAGGGCTGTGTGTTGGACAGGGTTGTCTGCAGTACGGGGCCCCCACAGGGAACAGTTCTGACTCAGTTTCTCTTCACCATCTACACTGCAGACTTCTCCCACAACTCCACCCAGTGCTTCCTTCAGAAGTTCTCTGATGACTCTGCAATAGTCGGCCTCAACACTGATGGGGACGACAAGGAGTACAGAGAACTGACCCAAAACTTTGTGGACTGGTGCCAGCAGAACTTTGGAGTGAAGGGCCCACTCCTGAAGACCTTCTATGACTCTGTGGTGGCCTCAGCTATCTTTTACGGTGTGGTCTACTGGGGCGGCAACATCTCTGCAGGGGACAGGAAGAAACTGAACAGGCTGATCCAGAGGGCCAGCTCTGTTCTAGGATGCCCTCTGGACCCAGTGAGTGACAGGAGAATGGCGGCTAAGCTGTCATCCCTGCTGGACAACATCTCTCACCCCATGCAGGAGACTCTGACAGCACTGAGCAGCTCCTTCAGTGGCAGGCGTCATCCACACATGTGCAATAACACTAAGTGCAATTCTCTTTTTCTGACAACATTGTATTTTATTCTGTTGTATATAGTATTTTATTCTATTCTATTGTGTACATTATCTTATTCTTATTATCTTATCCTATTCAAATGTTTTTTCTTAATTTTTGCTACTGTAGGTTTGCGCTGTCCACTTTCTGCTGTAACAAAATAAATTCCCCTAATAAAGGTTATAAATAATAAAATTTGTAGTAACATGATTTGATATCATAATAAACACTGATTTTTTTCTGTTTTTTGTCTGTGTGGAGCATAAGGCTGCTCCACGCTTCGCTTGTGTCACTTTTAGGCTATCTGACAATGATTTTCACATCACGTCTTGTGTCATGCCACACAATCTTTGTGGTGTGCAGGCTGACATCCTAGGAGTAAACACTTGGCGACAGCGGAAAGGAAAACCTCCTTTTTAACAGGAAGAAACCTCTAGTAACCAGGCTCAGAGAGGGAACTACAAGTAAGACAGTATTCTGAGAGCAAAGTGCTCTATTAGGGTGATATGCTACTATTAGGTGTTTAAGAGCAGATGGGCCCTCCTTATTAAATTCTTTGTAAGTGAGGTTAAAGATTTTAAATCTAATCCTGGATCAACTGAAGGATTTTCAGGGAGTTTTTAGGACAGCCTGATAATACTGACAATGACAATTGTATCATAAGAGAACAACATTTTGAGGAAACGAGGACTATGCTCTGATTTTTAACAAGCAACTCCTTGGCTTATAATAATTAATTAATAAAAACTCTTGACAGCAAATGAAAAGAATAGTTTTTTTTATTTGGCACGACACAAAAGTGCTTTACGATAACACTGCCCATGACTAGTTTGACATGAAAACATTTTTGTAGGTTAACTGTCAGTCTCATTCAATACACATTGGAAAAAAAATGCGAACTTTAAAATTGTGTAAAAATGCCACTTGATATTTCATTTGTCATCATTCTGTAAGGCACGTCATAACCTTAAAATAAAAAATTTGTGCAAATGGTTTTGAAATGATTTTGGATGAAAGTTCTCAGACTGCTTGGCTTTATTGCTTATTGTAGAGAAGGCATTGCTTTATATTCTTTAAATACTTCAAATCAGTTAGGTTTGCATATGATCTGTGTTAACCAGAAATTTGTCAGGATGTATTTGCTTTTCCTGTGTGGACATATGGAGCAATCAGAGTTGGATGGATACCAGAAAACATCTAAGTACAAAATCCTACAAACCACAGAACAGCCTTCAATAAATATTTTGCATTCTATCTAAGTACAAAGTAAAAAAAAAACAAAGGTTCACCACTTTTCTCGAAATCAATAACTTATCCCTACAGATTGCATTTTTTTAAAATTGTTGCTATTGCAGAACCTCCCCCCAGCTCAAAATTTCACATTATTTGGTCAGATATACAAGTCATTGTCAGAACAGTTGAAAGCACACAAATACATTTTTTCATTTTTTTTCTTACAAAAATGAATGAAAATAAAGAATCTTTGGTAGCTAAGCAAAAATAGAATGGAAATGTCTATATATAAAAATGCATTGAAATACATAGTAAAATAAGTACACGGCTACAGCAAAGGGCTGACACGGCATAAAAAAATCCAGCTTTGCCTCAATAAGGTACTGTGTATAAAAAGGAGCCCATCATATCACAAACAGATCATAAATTACGTGAAACCATCAGAATGCATCAGTCTTTGGAGAGCACTCTGACACCTTGATGCAATGCAAAGAGAACCACTGAGGTATTTAATCTTCATTATGTCAAGCATCACGCAGAATGAGAGAGACGTAAAAGTGCATATGAATTATGGTCAAAAAAAGTAAGTACATCCCATGAAAACTGTTGCCTTTTTTAATGTATTTGAACAAGCAAACATTTAATATCTTTGTAATTCTGACAAAACGTTGAGGATTTTTTTTTTCATGTAAGAGTGGTATAAGAGTGGCAAGTGAATGTGAAAGGAAATGCTTTTTCCTTAAAAAGATATTAAACATTGACATTCCTGTTGAAAAAGTAACTTTCCTTTGTAGTGTTATTGAACTTTACCACCTTTTCAAAGAAGATCAAGTGGTTGCTTGTCAAATAATAATAACAACAATATTAATCTGACATACTTACATTTTCACATGACTGTAAATTCATGTCTGCTTCTGGTCTATAGCAAACACTGGACTTATTCCAAAATATTGCTTCCTACTATCAACTGCCCTTATTCACATTCCTATGATCAGGTAGTACTATTCCCAGTAGACACTAACATAATCTCACATCTACTTTTTCCCTTGCTAGTGAACAGAATGCAAGGCAGCTTAGAGATGTAACCACTTTATCCTTATGTCACAAAATCTTTGGGCTGGAACTTGTCCATCTTGTTTGCTTGGTGGTTAAAATTCATACTGGTAGAAAGACAACAATAATAGTGTTTTAGCCACTTTTGCAACATACATCTAAAATAAACCTTGTTAAAAGACGAAAAAACAAAAGTCACTGTTTCTGTAAAAGTAAAACAGTCACAGCAGCAATGATACGTCATCTCTCTCTTGTGGTCATCACCTGGTCGCCTGATCAGACAGATATAAATTCTGCTGGTCAGTGATCAGTTTCACTTTGTAAACTAAAAATACTGCAGTCATGTCACATGGGAATAATAATAAATATACCACAACATTAGGTGATGATATGTTTTCACATTGAGCATACATTAAACAGCCAGTCCATTGGTTATATTCCAACCCAACCTTTTTCCAACCAAGTGCTTTCTTGTTGCTGACATAAGAATCAAAGTAGTCTGGCTATCTGATTCTTTCGGCAATTCCAGATGTTATATTTGCTCCCTTAAACCGTAACAGGTGAAGAGCACAAGGAAGTTTGCATCTTTCCCATATGACATGAGAGCATTGAAAGAAAGAAAGCCGCTTTCCATTTCAAAGCCCTTTCTACACTCCTTCTGGCTTCATAAATTGATACTGTAGCTCTTTCCAAAACAGATTAAAACACTGAAAAGGTACACTTAACTTGAACATGTGGCAATAAAAAAAAAAAACTTGAGTGAAATAACTTTAGGTGGATTTGTAAGTTTTGAAGTGGTAAAATAGATCACCCCTATCTATTTATGAGATCTACACAGACTAGACACTGTGTATGTGGTACAATTACACTAATTATATAGCCCTGGTGATAGCCTCTACCAATACCTTTTATCACTATTAATGTAGATTTTTGTCAATGTTGTTCAGTCATTTGAGACTGGAGACAATCGGGCAGTCTTTAGGCTTTCATTTGACGGAGGCAACACAAAACTTGTTCTTTAGTTTAAGTGAGAAAAAAACACATTTACTGGAGAGAGTGCTCTGGAGGGAAAATATTCTTACTGGACAAGTTAAATCCCATCTAAGAATCCAGTTTTATTGGCTTAGTTGCTAATATTAGATGAAGCCCAGTGAAAATGACAAGGGTAAGAGGTAGCTAAAATTATAAAGCCTAGCGCTCTTGCTGCCAAATGCAATAAACACAATCTTGCCATTCTGAGTTATCCAAATTAGCTAATCAGCCTAAACCAATTGATCTTCAGCTAAACCTTATTTGAGTATGTCAAATGGCTAGCTTGAGGATGTACAAGGATCCTGGATGCTATGGTCACAGCCACTAGCATTTAGTCTAGAAAATATTTCTATTTCTTTGTCCATTTTAGTTGACCTCACTTTGCCTCCAGAGCTGCTCTACAGCTAAAATACATTTGTATAACAACAAGATGATGTGTGAGAGAAACCCCCGGTTTCATTGGGAAATCATGATTGTAGTCTGTAAGTCACACATCCAGCACCATATCATAGTGTGTTTCCTTCTTCCTTTTCCCACATTTATTTATGAGCACTGTATATAATGTCAACAGTATAACCCAGTAACTTGCATAGACCACTGCCCCTATTATCAAAACAATCTTTTCTGAGTCGGGGAAGGGTTTTCTAGTCTGTTGTACTACTGTGTATAAAATTCCAATGAAAAGGATAGTGAACCATACTGATATTGGAATCAGACCGATAAAGTTCACCACGATTGTTTTCCTCCCAGAAGTCCCCCATCCAGACTTGTTGATTGTTGCTATTGCAAACATTTTCGCTGGCAACAGGCTTGACATATACAGTACAGAATAAAATGACATGAACACCATGACAATGTTACCTCTGAGGCAGCTGGCAAATGATGACTTAATCAGCGCCACTGCTTGCACAATGAGTAGAAACAAAAGAATATTCCAGAGCCTTCCTTGGTAAAAGAGTTGGATCGCTGTGGCGATGAGGAAAAATGGGAAGAAGCCAGTGATCACAGCCTCATAAGTCATCCAGAGATGGTGTTTGTGGAACCACATGGAGTTGTACAGCCATTCTCTGAAATATGACTTGCTCCATCGTGTCTGTTGATTGAGCCACCGCAGATATGTAATTGGTGTCTCTGTAAGGCACTTTGACCGTGCAGTGTATTTTGTTGCATACCCGAGGCTGAGAACTCTGTTCGTGAGATGACGGTCATCCCCAAAACTGCAGTGGGATCCCATGAAGGTCTGATTGTACCAGTCCTCAAGAAACTCATGCAGGAGAGAGTTCCGGTACATTCCTAAAGGCCCGCTAATGCATTGAACGCAGCCGAAGTAGGACTGGCAAGCCCGCTCAATGTTGAAAGCCATCCAGTACCGAACACTGCTCAGGAAGGAGATCCACGACTCATATTTATTTAGGATCTACAGGTAGGTTGACAAGCAGAGACAAAAAGTATGAAGTTTAAAGCACAACATCCTAATTTGTATGTTTGATGTAGAAGATTCAGATTTCACAGAACTTTTAAGAAAACTACCTGTACATCTCCTCCAACTCCTCCCACCATAGGGTCTTCCTCCAAAACCTTAACCATCTCCACTGATGATGCTGGGTCCAGCATGGTGTCAGAGTCACACACCTACATAAAAACACAAGTTAATCAAGAAATTAACTGTGTTTTAGCAACACAGGATACATTTATTTAGATTTTCTTCAACATAGTTCCAGATGTCTTCTTTGTTCAGCTTAATTCTGCAAAACATAACAGATGTCAAATTGACCTAAACTCCCCAAAGAGAGGGAAAAAACCCTTTCTTGCTGAAAAAAATTTGCTTGGACAATCGGAACAAAATTTCGATATACAAAAGAAATTTTTGTGAAATCAAAAAAAAAATTTACATAATGACACACAAAAAAAAGATATCATGCATCCAACAAAACACATAAATGCTCAATATGGCCACTTTATAATCTCCGCCAGCCAAGACCAGAGGGGCTGCTTTCAACTCTGTTCACCACCCACTATAGCTCTAATGTTGTTCTTCTGCTCTCCCTATTTTCTTCTATAAATGGTAATTTTCCTGACCAACAAAATCAGGTGATGAAAACAAACCTAGAGCCCAGTCCTTTTTAACAAAATACATCTGTTACAGGCAGAGCCTGATGAAAGTGAAAAGGCATGAAACATTGTCCCTCCTGTTTCTAAGGTTGAAAAGTATTGGCATGACTGCTGGCAGTGCAGCAGTAAGGTCTATTGAACCTTTTGTGAAGTAAATGATTTTTGGCAGGCTGAAGCCAGCTGCAGGTGTTAGACAGCATTATAGCTCTGAGTTCATATTCTCAAAGTCCCCTTCTTTGTTATACAGACCCGTTTGAATCATTTTGATGCTGTTACATAAATTAAGCATCAGTTGAGCCTTACTCTTTGATCACAATGCTTTTTGTAGCACTAACAACTGAACATCACAGAAGAAAATGACATAATGATACTTGGCATTTTGGACAAAGAACTGTTACTTGTGCTTAAGTCTGAAGACACAAGAGTTTTTGAATTAGCCTGAGGTATCTGCTTTTCAAACGTAATAACAACAGATCTGTGGAATTGCAAAACTAACTAAAAATGCTGAAACGTCATTAAAGCCATAGACTGAGCGTCTGGTAACAAAACAGAGAAAGTCTTGACAGAGCATGCCCACACAAAATATTCTGGGTACTTTAAACGCAATCATTTAGTCATGGAAAGAAAAACACTTTCATTGGAAAGTAGCTTTCATGCACTGTTTAGCATTAACAAGCAGATTCAGGAAAAGGTGTGAAGTCATCAGCGTTGGTTCAACCCATGTGACCTCACCACCCTTCAAGTAGTTTTTATTCTTTAGGTAAACACAGTTTGAAAGGTTGTTATTGTGGCTGAATTATATGACACCACAATGTGGTTACATATCATATGACAGTAATACAAGCTCTCATTAAGTATGATATGATAGCTAACATTTGCCATTGTTAGCTACTGCTAATACAAGACAAAGTAAGTCTGGAGGATCAAAACCTCTTTGTATTTTGAACTGAGAAAGGTTCCATTTATTTTTAATTACTTTTATGCTCCTGAATATGACAGTACTATACAGCTCCACAAGAGCCCATGACACGTTTAACAGTCAGTGCCTGCAGGATATTGCTTTACCAAGCAGTTAATGTCTTTAGCCACTGTTTATTTTTTAAGCCACACCAACATACTGTCGCTAGCCAAACACACTATTGAATTTAGTTTTCCTAAAGCTATCAGGCTTTTAGTCCTTAGGTCTGTGTTACTCAAATATAACCTTTGATTGTTTTTAATTTTTCTGAACAGGAGACAAACACATGCTAACCTTTCTAACCTTTCTTTGATACAGATTTGTAGATGACGTAACGCCCTGCGAAAAAGATCTGTTATTACACTTAGACATCAGCTACTGCTGCCCTCCTTCACGCCACACTTCACAACACGGTGCACATGCTAAAAAGCAAAACAAAAGACTCTTTGTGGACCCCATATTTGGCTTGGCATAGCCTCCCCTCCTCTCTTTCCAGCCATCTCTCGTTCTATTCCCTTTCACTCTATCATCAGCTTATGTTTGCCTAGTTTGCATCTCCCACAGTAGCTTACATTTTCTCTTTCTTCACTATGTCCTTCAGATGTCAGCTCTGTGTGTGCATGCGTGCAAATCTACAAAGACACACACAGGCACAAAGTAATATTACACCTGTTGTACAGTACTTTTAATCTTCTAATTTATTTCATTATTTTTTTATTTAAGGGGCTATTGTTCTTCCACATTACCTGCATTAACTGATTTTAAGCGATTTAACTACTTACCTGCACATAATCCACGCTCCTTCCCAGTGCTTTGAAGGCTGTATACATGACCTCTCTCTTCCCTCCCCACTTCTGCATGATGCACACACATTTGCTGTTCAGCACAACCCTGGACACCTGCTGAAGGCTCTCAGCGTAGCTCTCATCTGTCTCCTCGGGTCCTCTGCTGTGATAATTACTCCTCCACACGTACGTGGCTGATCTGTCCGATCCCATGACCTCCTTAAAAATCTCCATCATGTACAAGTCGTCGTCTGAATTTCCATCGATCACCATGATAACTTTGATACCAGGATATGTCAGCCTCTTCACTGACACAAGGCATTTTCTTAGGTAGTTTTCATCCTCCTGATATGCAGCGATGCACAATGCCAAGGACTTGTTCAGTTTAATTGGTGTTTCTAAGGAGCGCCGCATGTTACGGTGTTCTAGGAGTGCAAAGAGGGTCTGGATAATAAGGTGAACAACCAAAATGGCACCATACAGCCCAAAAGATAGGTGATTTTGAGCTGTAGTGAAAAATTGGTAGCCCATGATATAGGCTGTCGAGATGCCCACCAGGAGAGACACGCCGAACATGGTGGTCCCAAATATCCTCAGGTAAGTGAGGGCTCTTTTACACTTCATCTGTGGACAAAAACAAAAGGGTTACATGTAGTAACAGTGGTGCAGAAAATGTTACTATGATTGACAGCAACTCACAGTGAAACATTTGTAACCTTTTATACTCAATTGGTCCAAGTAAATGACCTTCTTAACCTCCTAAGACCCGAACTCTTCCACGGCATGCATTTTTAATTTCTCTTTGATTTTTGGGATGATTAGGTCCTGATGAATGTAAAAACAAAGAATTACCAGATTTTTTTTACCTAATTTTTGCTTGTAAGAAAAATGAGAGCCACATATGAGGATATTTGTTTAAAATTTTGATAGAACAGTAGCAGTATAATGTCCTCGTAAGTGGATATCAGGCCGTTGTAGAGCAAAATTGAGTATTTTGGTCTAAATAACCGAAAATGTGATGTCCACATATGTGGACGGCAGGTCGTAGGAGGTTAAAGTGAATACAATCACTTAAACAAGAGTGTTGGAACCATTTTCACTGTACTTTTCACTAAAGCTTTTATGTTTTGACACAACAAAACCAGGTACAGACTGCTGTAAGCTTTCTCCTTTTTTATGCCCCATCCCTCTCCCTACCTCCTCCCCTTCCCCAAATCCCCCTAAATGCCAGACAGTTGTGAGTAGCCGATTGTTCCAACTCTCTTTTAGTGTGGGTGGCCACACGTTACAAGATTTCTTGACCTAATTAACCAACAAGTTGGCTGCCTCTGCCAACCATCAAGGTCTAAGCACATGCTAAATGTTGGTCGTGGTGGTGGGGTAGCCTATAATGAAAATTATTGGTTTCCACAGTATTTTGGGGACACATTGCAAAGGTCAAAGACCAAGTATGACAAACTCTGACCTAGAACATGAATATTCAATATTTTTAAGAGAGGCGTTTGTGCAAGAGGATGCTTTTGCGTCTGCATCCTCTTGCACAAACTCCTGAAGTTTGTTTCCAACCCTCATTATGTTGCTACCGCCATCTGTTTGGCAGACCAACGGAGACCCACTCAGCGTGGCTCATTTTGACTCAACGCAGAGAGCGGACCACCCTGTGATGTCATCTGTTTATATCTTTATGGGAAGAAGAAGACAAGAGACTTCTATTGCTGCACGCGTGCTTCTCTCTCTCTGAATCTTTGTGTAGAGAGCATTGCAGGGAAATGACTTCTGTTAAACAGAGAGAAAGAGAGAAAAGACCTTTGACATTATGAAGGTCAAAGTATGCTGACCTTCAGTAGGGCTCCCTCTTGTGGGATAAACTTTTCATCTAGGATTTAGACGCATTTAGCACCATTTTGTTCATTGAGTGACCAAAAATATTTTGCGATATCACGCATTTTGTACATGTACATTTAATCAAGTCAAGGGAAACAAGTCAGAACAACAATAAAATGATCAAAAGAAGCGTATACAAGGCCGAGTGATGTTTGTGAACTGGAGAGAGTTCTTGGGACCACACCTAAACACATGACAGATGAAGGGAGGGGACGACTAAAGGAGAGAAAGAAAAAAATATATACACAGAGAAAGCGAAGATAGCATGGAGAATCTTTAAGAGAGAAAGTGAAGAAAGTTGGTTAAGAAAATTGGTTAAACTAGCTGAAAAGCAGATGCATCTTGAGAGACATTAGGAAAATGAAAGTAAAAGACAGTGAGGGAGTAGCAGAAGCAGGGAGAGAGAGGTTGTGTTCATGGAGAAGAATACACACAAACACACACTTTGGCTCAGACATAATGCTTTGTTCATTTGACTGTTGGACGAGAAAGCCACAATCAGTGTAGCGGACCTCCTCTGGCATGTGGCAAAGGTTTTAACGTCAGGCCATCTTTTACAAGACCCCTGACATGCACAGATATACACCAAAATGCACATATAAAAGCTTATTGTACCACTGCATGTGTGTGTTTGTGTAATTGAACAAATTTAAATTTTGGCCTCTTTCAGCTTGTGTGAGAATGTCTATAATGCTTTATAAGCCCTGTATCCATGTCTTACCTTTGTTTGAACTCAACCACTGATTAGGAGTAAGCATGAGTGCAGCAACAAAACACAACGTTTTGGGGCACTTCATTGTCAGCTTAAAAGTACATCATGACTGACAAATGTACACCTCTACATTTTATCAACTGGGCTTTGGGAGAAAACAAAATGAACTTGATCGAACCACTGAAGATAACAAGGACAGGAACCGTCGTCAGTGTTTGCTCCTCCTTGACTTTCTGTTAATGATCTGCACTTTAATGATACAATCTGTTTGCTCTGATTTAATGTTTGGAATGAAAGTAAAAATCAAAACTAGGATATTAAATCCATCATCGACAGGCTAGGCTCATGGCATGTAAATGTGATGTGGGAAAACGTCAAGTCCACAGTAATGCAACCATTGCTGCTGGCTACAATGATCTGGTCTTTGCAGGATCTTATACACCATTTTGGGTGTGTAGTGCAGCGCAGAGGTCAGGTTGACAGTTAGCTCAGGCTGCAGACAGATTAACTGCAGACTTAAAGTGAGGCCAAACTCTGGCCCGTTCTTATTGAGATAAAGCCTTTTTAATCAGAGCAGTATCTGTAACAGTGGAGATGTCATCCACATATGGATGATGTAAATGATGTCACGTTGGTTGGTGAGCACGCGTATCTTCATGTGTTTGTCCAGAGCATTTATCTATGCAAGCGGAGGGTGTCATTAACACATGAAGATGATATCACTCCAGCTTTCTGTTTGTTGTTACATCTTGGCACTTGAGGGTTAGAACATCGCCATTATGTCCTTTTTGCTGTACATGTGTGTATGCGTGGCCAGCTCTGTGGTGACCTTGGGCTGGAAGCTTGAGCAGTCTCACTCTGACGTTATTAACAGTCTCTTGAGTGAAACTCCCACAGGCTCTCTCTCAGAGATAACAATACAGTAATGTTGAGTCTTGCATGGATGTACATGGTGAGTTAGTAGATAAATGAAGCGATGACTACATAAATTAATGGATAGATTAAGTTGACCCAAAAAAACTGGGTCCTTGGAAAAAGTGCATCTGGTTGTTCTTTTAAACTGAGACACGTGGATTTGTTTGGGATTACAGCAACAGTAAAAAAAATAAAATAACAAAAAAGTAGTGACAGGGAAATCTCATTGTGTTTGTGAGTTTGTTAGTTTGAAAATATGATTTAGGAAAATCAATGAGTGTCTTGCCTTCCCGTTACTCTAAGTGTTCTTACAGTACAAATGAGCAAGGCGCTGAACTATTTAGCTGTAACAGGAATGAGAGACTGTGCCTGCATCTTCCTCTGCTTCTGAATGAAACAGCATATTAATATGCTACAGTATGCTAAATCAAAATCCTGACCTCATGACAATATTAGACTAAAATTCAGGGATCACTATACTATGGTTTATTTTGTTCAAAACGTGCTCACTACATGCACACATTCTGATGGAAATCCATCCAATAATTTTTTCAGGTGGAGCCACTGAGTAAATCAAATGTGAACATCAAAGTTTCCCTGCAGGAAAAGTCAAGGAAACACCATGTGCAAACATTGCACAGACTTTGTAAATAAGTGAATTTGTTGATCTGCTGGTGCTCAGAGGGATGATAGGAGTTCACCGAATACAGAAGGTACATTGCTACACATAGAGTCAAGTTACTTGCAATGCCAAGAAAAAAACATTGCATTTAATTGGTTTGACATGTTTACAATATTGCGCAAAAGTCTTGAGCCACCTCTAAATTCTTTCTTTCAATGATCCAGACCTTCTTGTAATTTCTTTAACATCTCATACTTTTTAAAGTGGTCTTGAGCAACAGTTCTTCAGGGCTTCTTAAGGTCTTGTAATGCTTCTGTTTGGACATTGGCTGCTTTTTCACTCATTTTTAGCCAAGTATTTAGACCTGTACATTAAAACAATAAACACTGACCTCTGAATCGATCAAAAAGGCACCTAACAAGAGAGAGTGTTTATTGACCAGTGTGAATGCTTTTCTTCTGATTTGTTTAGCGGAATCTATGAAACCTGCAAACACAACACAGGTTGACAGTGATAATAGTATTACATAATAAAATTTTTACAGGAACAAGATGATGATGAGCTATTGACTGCCTGGTGTGCAGTGTGCCCTTAAAACATTTGAGGAAACTGAATGAAGGGCAAAAGAAGAATTGGCAGAGCTAGAAAACTACCTACAACAAATTCCTGACACAGGACCTGAGAGACAAATCTGAAGCCTCAGTGGAAGGGTTGGCTGTCAAGAAGTCATTCTTAAGGAAGGTAAAACGGAAGAAAAGGCTGATGTATGCCAGATTACACTCATGGAGTGATAATTCCAGTCATTTTTGGTTTAAATTATGCATTGATATGTATGGAGGAAGTAGTACAGATGCACAACACCCAAAACACGGGGGAGGCTCTGTTATGGTTTGGGACTGCATTTAAGGCAGTGGTGTTTGGGATCTTGTCAAAATTGATGAAAATGTGAACACAGAAAAGTACAATCAGATTTTGATCTACCATGCAGTACCATCTGGAACGTGTCTGATTGGCTTCATTTTTTAGCCTGACAACAATCTCAAACAAACAATGCAGTAAAAGAATATCTAGATAGAAAACCACACAATGGAATCAGTCATGGATTGACCTCCCCAGAGCCTGGACCGCAACATTATTCAAGCAGTGTGGGATCATCCTGACAGAGAATGGAACAAAAGGAAGCCAACATCCAAAGAAGAGCTTTAAATGTCCTATAAGAAGCCTGGAGAAATATTCCTGAAGACTACTTAAAGAAATTACAAGAAAGCTTGTCTAAGAGAGTTCAGGCTGTGTTGAAGGTGGTCGTACCAAATACTGACTTTCGAGTTGTACAAACTTTGTTTTTGCTTTACATACTGTACATACTGTATTTCCATTCACACTTTTGCATGTTTCAATAAATCACTGCTCCAATTTCACATTTTCTTTGCATATCATAGAAACAAGGGAGTGGCTCAAGACTTCTGCACAATACTGCATATTTTCATTCTGTTCATTCTTTTGGCCACAAAGAACCGACAATAAATCTCAATCACCAATTAAAATATGGGACACATTTTGGTTTTCAAATATAATGAATATCTTAAAATCACCACATGTTATAATAAATTGCATGCGTGTTACATCAGGGAGAGCTTTTAGATATGAAGAACAGGCTGCTTAATGTGAATGCCATATGTACCTATGTGCAAATCTATCACTAATGTCACAATGTATGGCATATGTGTGCGTGTTTGTGTGTGTATATACACAGCATGAAGCATGTGTGTGTGTGTGTAAGAATATGAGTGTGTATGCAGGCTGTCTGCAGAAAGAGATGCCTTGACTTAACTCACATGAGAGCAGTTGAAGCTCTTTCAGCAGGGTTCCAGCTCAAGACCTCTGATAGAAACGCAAGACTCTGATAGACTCTGTGTGTGTATGTGTGTGTGTGTGTGTCTTCATACACTAAAACTACATATCTGTGTGAGTTTGCACAAGTGTGTATGTAATTACTGTGTGTGCTGCCCAGAGTATAACAGTGAAGTGAAGCCAAAGAAAGACAGCCTGCTGGTCTGTGTGGAGCTGAGATAACATAAAGCTCACATCTTTACATCTCAGCAGTCACTGCTGGAAGTGTAACATTCACAAATCAGCAGCTCTGGCTGGATAAGTACTTATAACAAATCAAACATTATATGCTGGGGGCCCAAGCTGACACTTGTGGCTGGTATAATTTAGACCTGAATCACAGTTAAGGATTTGAACAGTTTTCATGGTATTTTTCATGACAATGTTCAATGAAGCCCAGATAAGTATGAGCTAATAAAGACAGATTAATGGTATTTGGGGTTTTTGTGAGGAGTCTCTGGATCCATTGAAAAAATAATAGTACATTTTATATCAGTTTAGTATAAAAAAACCAGACCTGCTGAGGTAATACACACCTTTGAAATCTCATGTGCTTTGACAATTTCCAAGAATAAAAAAAAACACGCATGTACAAATGGAGAGATATGCATCACAGATAATGATTTTATATATACACTAGGTTGTCAGTGTGTGTTTAAGAACTTTGCAGGGTTAGAAAAGGCCACGGGGGATTGTAAAATTAAACATTAAACGTGGAGCTGGCTCTCATGACAGACATAGCAGCATGCAGCAAAGGGTCACATCTTCCCGAGAAGCTGATGAGGCAAAAGAGTGGAAGCGGCGGGGAGAGACTTGAGAATTGGCTGCAGTCTTTGGCTAGACGTACTTGACACATTCAAGGCTGGGCTGCTGCTCCATGTCTATTTACTATGTTAATTTAGTGACAAGGCTCCTTTTCTCTTCGCTCTTTCTGGGGGCAGAATCAGGTGTGATGGGGCCATAACTGAAAAGCAGCAAAAGGTTAAAGCATCTTCTAGACTGCAACTGTTTCTTCATCACGCAATTAGCATCTCATTACACTGTTACACCAACAGATGTTGTTATATACATGATTTAATACAACACTGAGGTAAATGTGTTCTCTGTTTCAAAGCCAGACTATGCCGTTTGGTATTTAGGCGTGTCTTTTTTCCACCTTGATTCATCCATGTAGTAGGAAGAAAAGGGGAGGAGGTGAAGTTGGGATGAAGCTGCTCAGAGATGAATGGGTGGCACACACTGAAAATGGGGTGGGGCCAGGACATTGAAGGCGTGGTGCTGTACTTGGATGCATTCACTGCCAGCTGAGGCACGGGACTTACATCACTGTGGCAGACTCCAAGAGACCAAAGTGAGATGAGGTTGAGTATGGAATTCCTCCTTCTTAAGCTATTTCTTTGTGTGAAAAAAAATGCAAAAAATCATTGAAAGCTCTTCTTTTACAAACACAACCTGTTTCTCTGTATCATCCAACGATCCAGCAGTTCCCTTATCAGATTGATAATAGACATCCACCCATCAGCAGTACCCTTAAATAAACGTCTTCACCTCCATGGGATGGAAAATTCTATTAATAGCACTCTTTAAAACCACAGCCCAGTGTGGCTAAAAGATAACAGAGGCTCATAATCACACTCAAGTAGAAGATAATTAAAAAGAACTTTATAATTATTAAGGGGAAAAAAGGAAGAAAGAATCACACTAAGATTTCCATGAAACGTTTTGTCAGTTTGTCACTCTCATCTTTCCAGAAGATATACAGAAAATATAAATAACATTAACAAGAGCCACTTTGTGAGCTGCTCCTGCCCGGTTTGCTTTGTAAGGGGCCTTTGTTACTTTATGGTACACTCTAACTGCTGGATATATGAATTAGATTTGGCATCAAACCTACTCTGTGTGACTCAGCGTGAGGTAGTGAGAATCTAACTGACATCCAAATTTTCACTTTTACTGGCTGGCTGCAGTGCTGCTTTACTGTTAGTATACTGAAGGAACCTGGAAAAAAACTGGTATTAACACAGAGTAGATGAGCTAAGTGGTACGGCTCGGGAGGGGCTGCGCCTCTAAGATCAACAGTTGTACCCTGCCAGCCCCATGGCTCTTTACACTAAAAGACCCTTGCTGGGAGAAGCAATGGCACGTGAGACTTGTTGTGTGCCTTAATGGAGGCCAGCCATGGAAAGTCTTCTTCTCTTAAATAGTAAAATGCTCTTTGTGCTGTGTGGGAGTGCATGCTGGAGCACTGATGCAACTCAGACATCAAAAAGGTTTTAAAAACTTCTTTGTCATTATAGTGGACAACTGTGACATTCACAGAGTATTTCATTTAATAGCACTAAAGTCGTATTGTCTTTCTCATTGGGAATTGAGTCCTGCACTCAGCAAAGAAATTCCCTGGAGGACTGAGATTAGGAACACCACATGGGTATTAGGTTGAATACATGCTGACATGGGCACAAGGTCCACATATGCTCCAAATCTACAGCAAATGAGCAGTGAGCATTTATTTGAAGTTTACAGTTTCCCTGCTAATAAAGTACTGCGCAAAAGGTTTAATCCACAAGTCATCCTGGAAGTATTTTTTCACACTGGACACACTTGATCATCTCTTCTTACAAGTAAATATGCAGGATATCACCACAGAGTTAGGGTGCATTGTGAGAGCAGCACAATGCAAAGTAAAATCAATAAAATAAATAGATAATCCAAGTCAGCAAGGAGATTCTGCTTGTGGGTTGAAAAGTTCTACATTTTGGATAAATAGCTGTAATATTTGTCCACTTACTCACACATGGTGTGTGGGCAACACAGTGGGACCCAACAGCGGTCTGTGCACACTCAGTAGGTGGATGGAGAAAGAGACTATGTCAAGGAGAGTGTGACAGATGTTCATTAGCATTTGTGTATATGTGCGCGTGTGATGGGTGTGCAAGGGGACAACAATGCTCAGAACTTAGGTGCATGGACCACGTGATATCTCACATGAGCTTTTCTGGTTTTGTTTAAGTTCAAAGTTAGGAGGTTATGAATAAACTGCAAAACTTTTCAGCAAGGCATGTGCCTGCTACCACTTTTTACAGAACACGGATATCAACAAAGGCTAACTTGTCCAAAAGCTGAAGGCTGGTCAAGAAGCTATTCACACGCATGCAAATGTTAGTCCTCCACACTGGGCGTCAAATTACGCGCCCCTACCACAAGCCACGCTGAAACAGTCCCCATTCAGTCTTCTCATTGGCTTAAAAATCTCAACGAATGACGTGTGACCGGTAACGTCACAGTGTAGTTATATTCAGGCTAGCATCACTCTTACAACAAAGACTAGTCATTAATTTGACTGATCAGAAGATAAAAGCTTAGTATATTAAACCTTTTACACCTGTATTTTGTAGTGTTATAGCATGAAATGAAACACAAACTGAGTTTCAGCACTTCTTGCTGTGGCTCCCAACTTTTAGCATCACTCACTTTGTGGAGCAAACACGCTGAACAAACTCGTGAAAAAAAAAAAAGCTCTATGCATGCACTTTGCTAGAGAGTTGGCGCATCATCACGTTCACACACGCGCGCACACGAAAACTGATTGCGCGTAATTATGTTCTAAACCACTTTATGAATGATTTAGTGGCTTGTGGTAAAATATTTGGTAAAATGATCACCGGCCACCTACCTTGAAGCAGCTGTTGTCCTCTGATTCCTCCTGAGAAAGGATGCGTCTAACTTCTGGGACTCTGGTCCCGATCCACAGAGGAAAAAAGTAGACACAGAGCTTGAGCAGCGACGACTCTCATGAATCCGCTTAAAATGGTCCTCATAAGCCTATTTTTGTTTGTTTGTTTGTTTGTTTTTTAAAGGGGGAAAAAGAATAATAAAAAAAAGTCGTGCCAGTCCTTTGTATGTGTGCTCAGTTTGGATCCTTCAAAAAGACAACCGGGATTGCTTGTCTTCTCTAACTTCTAACGGTTTGTCTGCAGCCTTTCCAAGTCACTTGCATCTCTGGTGTCCAAAACCAAACATCATATCAGTCAGCTTTGGCATCATTCATATAAAAAAGTATAAATAAAACATAGACTATAAAAATATGATAAATATTCTTCTCCATCAACGCCTGTTTCATTCATTCTTAATAAAACGAAAAAAAAAATTAAGATAAAGCATCAACTTTGGCAGCTTCAGTCACATTCAAAAGTTTTTTAAAAAAAACAAAAAAGTTTCAGCAAACAATAAAATATGAGCCAGAGCTTTTTTTGTATTCTTCCTGTCTTAAGGGGCGTTAAGGTAAGTTTTTCTAGAGTTTCCTCCGAGCATCCAGGTTACACAGAGCGCACAGAAGTCTCTCTGCCGCTGTTTCAGCTGTCTAATTCCTTCCAGACGGGTGTGTGTGCATGTGTGCGAGTATGTCTGTGTGTGTGGACCCTCCTTTATGGCTCCTGCGGCTCCCAAACCCCTTTTACCGGGCAACAGATTGGCGTGTTGATTTAATAGGAGGGAAGGTTTGGGGGTGTGTGTAAGGAGGAGCGACGGAGAAGTTATGGGGGAAGAGAAAAAAAGGGGTGGGGGAGGGGGGGCGGCGAGTCTCTCATCCAAACTCATTCAAACTTCAGAGAATGGGTGGGTGGGGAGTCTCTCATCCAAAGTCATTCAAACTCCAGAGAGAGAGAGAGAGAGAGAGAGAGAGAGAGAGAGAGGCTAACATTGACTGGAACCCCCTCTCCATTCATTTTATATTACAACTTGAGGTTACATAGTATAAAAATTACTAAAAGATCAAAGGTCAAGATCCCTGTCTAGATAAATAAATAAATCTGGGTAAATTCCCAGATGATTAAACATGCAACTATTTTGCTGGTAATACCTGAAATGAGTAAAGAAAATCAACAGCCTATTTATGCAAGTTAATTCATAATTTTATGGGGGGGGGTGTATTGGTTGGGTCTGATTATTGGGAGGGTCATAACCCCCCTAACCCTCCTGGAAATGACACCCCTGGTCAAGACATGCACATAAGCACGTGTGAGCCACACTTGGTGATGTTACAGAATTTCAGACCGTTCATGTCATCGTCAGATGCAGTTCATACATTTCACCAGCAGGCAGTGCTGTGCGATACAGAACTCAGAGCCAGGGCTGTGAGCTGTACAGTAGCTCCTCTCAATCCTAAAGGGATTATCCAACGAAAATCACGACTCATGTTACTCATATGGCCGTGAGTCAGTCAGCATCCCCCACCGTCACGGTGGCTATTACCTGGAAAAGTTAAAAGTTAGGAAACAAAAGGCCTGTATGTTGCCATTCTCAAGTCATAACCACAAGTTTACACACATTCCAGATAAGATGTTGGAATAAAAGTTCTTTTATGGGTAACAAATATCTCCTTCTTAAAATCCCACTGGAACATAAGGAAGTACGCAAACAGGGTCGCTTTAGTTCATTAATTTCTGTCGAAAGTGTCTTTTTCACGTATGAATTCTTACTGTGACTAAGATCTTTTTTGTTACATACAATATGCATCACCACCACAACAAGACAATTTCATCCCACAAAGAAATATCAAGTGCCGCACCACAGCAATTGTTCCTGTACTGAGGTGAATGTTACGAGAAACAAGTCTTCCCCAGTTCCAGTCGGTTTGAGAAACTCTTAAACCTGATCTGTTCTGTGATTGGATGTCACGGTTGTTCACTTTTAACTACTAAACAACAGCAACAACAACAACAACATGAAAGTGGGGTCTTCACAGGAAACACATCAAACTATAAATAATGACAAAATATAATAAATGTGAAACATTTAGATAATAATTATTTTATATTCTGACACTGAGACTGAAACCTTTTCTGCAGTCTTTTTTTGTAAACCTCCCATTCTGTGAGCATGCACAAGCCAGTGTGATGAACACAAATGAGGCCTGTGGTAAGACCCCCCGCCCCCAACCCTCCCTAGCAGACCTGTATTGTTTATGTATGGTGGAATAAAAACACACAGTTTCCTAGCTCATGTGGATCTATTCCTGATTTTACCAAGTCAGTGAGCAACATCATTGTCACAGGGGACATATATGTTTTAGGGCTAAATTGCTTTTTTAAAAAACAAAACAAAACAAAAACTCCCACTTTTGTGCAAGCTCATTTACTCGAGTATTTATTTAAACAAGGAGCTACGTAATGACTTACAGACTCCTGGAAGTGGCTGTCGAGTTATCACAGCACAGAACATATAACATAGCCTCAGCAAGGCAGTTGGGTCGCACAGCTTTTCTGAAACAAATCATCAGGTGCTCAGAAAAATAAATCAAAGCACTGACAGTTTTATAGCCACTTATCTGACTTTTTTCTCTATTTTTTCCCTCTTTTTCTTTATGTTACTGAACATTTCATTCAGGACAGCAAGGCGTATCTGAAGCAAATAATAACATGCTGCCTGTGCCAGTACGTAACAATAATTATCACTGCTGCGTATCATTTTTATTTCCAATAATATTAAAAGAATATCAATATGCACTTCATACATGCCTAGTATGTGTTTTATGTCTACTACTGTAAGACTTGATGTACAAGAAACAGCAGAAGTCCATGGGGAATACGGTGTACTGAGTAATTATTCTGGGGCGTATATGTGTATATATGATGTAGGCCCATGTTTCACAAAACATGCCAAACTGTCACTTGTATTTTTGGCATGTCCTGGATGGCAACCTGAGACTGAACACAAATCTCCCACATGGATGCAGCATAGATTTTACTGATACAATTCTCGTATTTGTCTGCAATAGACTGCAATAACGCAGGATGGAATGAGTGATGCTGAACTGTATGGATACACACACCTTGCAGAATCCACATCCTTTTGGCCTTTGAAATACAAATTTGTTGATTGATGGGTCATAATGTTTGTTGATACTTCAATTTTTCATGTTGGGCGGCTTTGCCTCAGGAGGTATTGCAAGTCATCTATTGATTGGATGATCGGTGGTTTGATCCATGGATGCTAAAGTCTGCATGCCAAAGTGTCCTTGGGCAAGGTACTGAACCCTGAGTTGCTCCCGATGCCTTCATTGGGGTGTCAGTGTGTGTATAAATGATAGACTTTTACCACTTGGACATGTAAAAAGCTCTTTGAAAAGTACATGTTTAACAAATTGAAGTTCAGAAATCTTTTTTCATTACAAAAGATAAATAAAAATACTTAAGAAAAAAAATCCGGATTGAGGTTGTCATAATTCATGCACGAAAGGGTTAATTATGACTGCAACATGAACAAAAAATAAATCCCATATGATGTATTTTCACTTAACTGTGAAAAATCATTTCGATTTCAGTGTTGTTACAAGCCAACAGTACATGCACCACTTGTGAACTGACAACTATTACTTGAAAATGTTTTTGACTCTTTACTTAAATCTTTAGTTCAAAGGATGAATTAAGTTGAACACTAACACAAAAGCCTGTCACAAATAATTCTGTAAAAGACTGTGACAAAGTGTGTAAGAAGTGAAAGATGACCAACACTTATGTAGCCTCTGGACAGGTTACCAGTCTGTTGCCGGGCTAACACAGAGAGGACAACAACCATTTCCACTCACATTCACACCTATGGGCAATTCAGAATCACCAAACAAACTGGAATACCCAAATACCTCTTATCCACCAGTACCTGCTCAACTCAGCTTGGCTTGGATTTTAGGGTTTTCCATTAGGTGGTAGTACCTGATACCAGGTACTTTTTATACCGGCTCAGCTGGGATTCAGAGTGAGCTGAGTCTGTCCAAAAATGTGACTACTTGCCTCCAATTGGCCCGTCAAACTGGCCCCCAGTCAAAGGAAATTCCTTCACAAAACATGGCAACAAGGGAAATAGCTGCACAAAACATAACACCGTGGTCCCTGGGTCTGACAAAACCAAGCAGCAGGTATGCTATTGCTTCAGCATCCTCCGTTGTTGTATTTGTGTTGCATATGAGGTGAAACTGTAATAGAAAATGAGCAAAAACTAGCAGAGTCAATACTAGTGGAAAAGAGGACTGGGGAGTTAACTGTAAATTCTACACAGAAAGGTCCCAGCCAAATGGTGGAGTCAAACCTTGGAGTGAGGCAAAGGTGCTAACTGCTAACAGTGATAATCACTCTGCCACCATGCTACCCTTGCCGTTAATCAGGGTTCCTTAAATACAGCTGTAGCAACGTAAGTAAACTTTATTTGTCCAGTGCTAGATGCTTTAATAATGTAGTAGGTTATGCATTTGCTACTCATTTGAAAGCTGCTGGGTTTGAAATCAAGTCTGCTCAACAAAAATGTCTGCATTTTTTATAGGTGAACTCACAGGAATACTGTATTAGTCAAACATGAACATTCAAGTTGCCACTTTGATAAAAGTTGAAAAAAAATGTTATGAATCCAGTTCAATTGATATTTGGAGTTTTCCATGGCTTTTCTTTCTCATACTGTGGAAAGTCCTTTTCTTCATCTGAAAAAGAAGTGTTCTACTGCTTCTACTGATATAACTTTACCTTCAATTGTCAGATTAAAGGCAGCAGGTGTCTTATGGTGATGAAAACATTGTAGCAAGCTGTCTTCTCCTTCGTTTCCTCAATCTCATGTGAGGATGTGTGTGCTTTTTAAGTTATCTGACAGTCACCTCTTTCAAGTCCAGTTCTTTAATCTAAAGGCAAATAATATCTCTCATCAGTACCGACGCAACCAACCAATCAAGTAATAATATAAAGAAATCTGCTGTTTTTTGCAATGTGTTTAAACCCTTTTTTTTTTTAAGCTAACAACGTCACCTCTGTGATTCCACTGGCTCTTAATCTATAAAGTTCCTCTACACCATTACAACCATTTCAGAGGTTGCCAGTTTTCTGTCACGACCTGCGGGGTCGGCAAGGCACTGATCAGCAATCTCTCTCCCCCTCCCATGTTTTGCCGGGGCGGAACTCATGGCGGGTTCACGGCCTTGGCCCACGCCCTCCCGGATCATGCACACCTGGGCCTCATCAGACCAGCTGGTATATCAGAAGGAGGAGATCAGCTGTTCAACGCTGGATTGTTGTGAAGACTCCTGTCAGTACACGTCGAGCCCTAGTTTCCCACACTTCCGCCTCAGAAAGTAACATTTGTCTCTCTGTTCTAGATTCCCCGGACCCGTCCCCGTGTTTCCCCGTGTGGAGCGTGTAAGAGGTGGCTGGTCACTAGAGGAGAGAGGTTGACGTGAGCGTGTGCGTGATCCCCTTGTTTTCCCTGGAGCCCTGGAACCCGTCCTCGCACATCTTGTATATAGCACTGTCCTCGCACTGCCTGTAAATACACTTGGTGAAGATTTTTGTGAATAAACTGTCTCTGTTACAACACACTCCGGAGTCCTGCGAGTGGATCCTCAGAGCAACCCGTGACATTTTCTCAAATGTTTCCTGTAAAATGCCAAAATAATCTTT